TCACAAGATATTGGGTTAAACCGTGCCGACGACGTCGACGGATAAGGCGTTTCACGTAGTAGTGGACGCCACCATTCTAGTCGGCGGCGGGCGATGACGACTTGGTCGATCGCCGTTCGGTGACTCGCGATGCTCTTCGAGAGTTGGAGGACAAAGTCCGTCGTCATCAAGATGGCGCCAAGCGCCTTTCCGAGGTCAGTTTCCGCTGTGCGGGGAGATCTTGAGAGCCTAAAGCAGTTTGTGCACCAACTGGCTCACGTTGAGGATTATCGTGCTCTGTCGAAGTGGCTCCTAGCCGTCGAGCAAACGAATTCGTCATTTCGTGCGACGGTGGAGCGTCCGGCACCGTTGAAAACGGAAATTGTTGCACTCCGCGCTCGGAAGCAGCTGCTAATTCGGCTTCTGGGTAGCCGTGAGCCTTTGGGCGCCGCACCAGTGCCAACGTTTCCGCGTTCACTCGCTAACATACCATAACTGTATTTTTATACTATTTGTTGATACTTCTAAATTTCACAACCTTGCAAGCCCACATAAAACACTGGGTGGGTGCGCATCCTTCTTGAAAGGCTTAGTTTATACGCAAGGCCACGCTTGGCCACGACAATAAAAGGTCCATTAAATCGTGGACGGAGCTTCGTCTTAAAGACAGCAAGAATTGCATGTGTAGGAAAGATTTAGCATTTAAGAAAACCAGGTCTTCGACTTCAAAGTTTTCAACATTTTTTCTCCCTCTTCCATCTCCATATTCCTTTTGCATCTCATCGTGAACGTGTCGTAAGACACTCAGTCTGGTAGCCAGGAAGTCACCGACTTCTTTACGCACGGTGAGGGGATGACATCAGCTAGCCGCTCGGCTATTCCTCCCTCACCAAGCCCTGAGCCATATGATGGCGGCGTCAGCGGGACGCGAAGATTAGCGCGCTCGTTCACATAGAACGGCGTGTAGCCGGTAGATGAATGCATTTCGTTGTTCAGCACAAACTCTACGAGTGACAACATAGCGCTCCAGCGCTTTGGCGTCTTAGCGCAGATGCTGCGAAGAACGTCTTCGACAACGCGATTTATGTACTCAGTCTGACCATCGGCCTACGGATAGTCCGCTGTTGACGTAGTCAACTCAGTGCAAACAGCGTCGCTGTTCCCACACCGTCTATGGTGTCCTGCACCGCCGCAAAATGAGCCATCTTGCTCAAACGATCCACAAAGACCACCACACCCGTGATGCTCGCCAAATCCTTCGGCAGGCAAAATACCCGTACTTATGGACTGCCAGCACCCGGAAGGTACCGGTGAACTGGCTAGCGTCGCCGCCGCATTCAGAGAAGGTTTCACCCCTCTCACACATGCGCACATATGTGCTCGTCCATTTGTATAGTTTAGGTCACCAATAGTGGTAAAACGCAGAGCTGTACGTCTTCTCACGACCGAGATGACCACTGAGTAGGGTGTCGTGGGCTTCATAGAGGAATGTAATCCCCATCGTGAAGAACCAAAATTTGTGACGTATCCGTTGAATCGGTGTATACAGCAACCCGTTATTCAACGAATATTGGTGTAACCTAGCGCGCAAACGCGCCGACAACTTTTTGTCCGAGTTTTCAAGCTCCTTGATCCCGAGAGCTTGTAGCAGCGCTACACACATACTGTCACCCGCGTATGCGGCGCGGATCAAGTCCGTCAATGACGACGTCACCGTCGTGAAATGAGCAAGCTCATCGTTCGGTCTGCGTGACTACGCATCAGCCGAAGAATTCATTTTTCCTGAATTATACTTCCTTCATCAATAAGTTATGTTCTGCAAAGAATGAGAGCCATCTGGTCATCCTCTGCGGGAGGTGATGCGGATGAGTCGCAGTCCGTAATGACGTATGAACTGTGTAGATCACGAACAGCTTTGCGCCGAGCAGGTGCACCTCGAACTTGACAAGTGCATACTTCATCGCAATTAATTCCTTGTCGTGGACCGGGTAGTTCCTCTTCGCAGCCTTAAGCTGGCGCGATCACCCGATCTTACGCCTTGGTGTCTGCTTGTAGCCGCGCACATTCGATGGCAAAGTCTGAAGTGTCACAGACGACACTAAAAGGACGATCGAGGTCTGGCAACGCCAGTATTGGTGCATGAAGGTGGGCTTGACGACACACTGCACCGAATATTGTCTTTCCAGATTTACCCTGTCAAAATCCTCCCGATGCTCGGTGTCCCAATACCATTTCGTATCCTTCTTTAAGAGATTCGACAATGGTCGTGCCATGTCCGCTTATTTTGCGCTATACTTGTGCAAGTAGTTGGCGAGGCCAAGCCATTTGCGCAAGTCCTTTTGGTTCCTTGGAACCGGCCAGTCCTAAATGGTCTTGACCTTAGCGGGATCCGCTTGAAGGCCACGCTTCCCAATGAAGCACCCTAAAGAAGATTATTCTTCGCGCCGAAAATGCACTTATCGGCATTAGCATAGAGCTTATTCGTGCGCCTGCACTCGAGCTTCGCTCTCAAATGGACGATATGGTTTACCTCAGCTGTTCTTCCGTACTTCGCACGACTGTGGATGAAGACGTCTTCGAAGTATGTTTTTGCATAAGCCCGATGGAGCCTGAACAATTGCGTCACAAGCCGATTTAATATGGTAGTGCATTCGACAGCCCTTGCGGCATCATTACCGCTGTCGGCGCAAAATCACTCGCTCTCATGAGAAACTGGTAATACCCATCCACCAAGTCAAGTGCGCTGTATCTTGTACAGCCAACCATATTGTTCTGGAGAACATCCTTTCTAGGAATCGTGACCGATACGCCACTTGCCGTTCGGCTTCCGGACACAAAATGTGGGTGTCGAATGGGGAAACTTGCTCTCACGTATCATCCCGGCGCCGTGCTTTTCACGGAAAAAGGTGTCAATGACGTCGCACTGCTTCTTGGACAGGGGCCATTGGCGTGTTACGCGGTTTGATTCCCGGAATTAGGTCGATCTCATGACGCACACCTGGGTCCGGAGGTGGGGTCAACAACGGGTATTTGGAAACGACGTCCTGAAAATCCTTTACCAAGAGATACTACAGAACCGAGGGAATCTTTGAGATCGAATATCCACTTCGTGCGTTCAGCACTGTCTTGATGTCCCCCAGGCCAGCTTCGTCCAGAAGCGACGACGAATAAATCCCCTCGATCGGTCTTATAATGACCACCTCGGCTAAATTCCCGCCTCCAAGGCACCGCTTAGCTCTTCGAAAGACATCTCGTCCAGCTCATAAAGAGCATCCACCGCGGATCCACCGCGGGAATGCCTCGAAGGTGACGTCGTCGTCTTCCTCTCCCGTCATACCACTGACGAGGGTGTATATAGCTGTGCGCTATCGTTTACGGTAGAGATACCCTAGGTCAGGGTCGACGCCCTGCGTTTTGCAGATAATATACGGCTTCGCCGTCTCTTCTCTACCAAGCTATTACGTCTCATTGAGACCAGTGGGAATACGCACTCGGCATCGTCCAGTGTCCCCGCTCCCTGCTCCATCGGAGACTAGACAACATCCGACGAAGAACTGCTATTTCCGCAGTTTTCATCCGGTGAATAACGTGCCACTCCACGCAGCCTCGCCCTTGATGCCTTGGCCCCTTGGCCGACCATGCCACTCTTGGCATGCAGCGACTGCTCCAATACTAGAGCAGCGCTCAGTGGGTTACGTGCCAATCCGTTTAGCCCAAACTACGCTCGGAGCTCCGGTCCAAAAATTATGTGTTTGACAACTCGGATACTCCAATATCCAGCACATTGACCGTCCCGGTCTAGTACCCGCGCCAATGGCGCTTTAGTTTTCTTGCAGAGATGGATTTCTGTACTCACCAAAGATCCACAGGAGACGTGCACGTAGCACTCAAGGTCTTCGACGTCAAATCAATCCATGGCTAATGGTGTCTTAACCATACCATACCATACCCAGGATAAGGTTATCCTTGCATCCAAGTCTAAGACTAAACAGCGTTCCACGGTATCAAAGTCAAGGAACTTGACACCGAGGTCTACATGGACACTCGGCACAGTGACACAAGTCCCCGTCGCTAAGCGAGCAGTGACGGTGTCACTCAACCGCGCTTCCAGCGCCTCAGCATACAGCTGACTTATTTCGATCGTGATGCGTCGAGCATAATTGCCCGACGCACCACAATTGATAAGGATTTTCCATGGTTTCTCAAAGCCCTTCATTCGTGTTCAAGAGCACGGTGCTCTTCAGGGCTGGGCCCTGCTGCCCTCTACCGCTTTGAGGCACAATAGAACTCAGCTCTTTCCAGTAGGGCGCGAGGAGCCCTACTGGGGCTTCTCGTTTCCCCGCGTCATATTAGACTGGTAAAAAGCGGAACGTCGGTTTGACGAACCTCTACACGCCTTACGCAGGGGACAACCAGTCCCAAGGTGACGGGTGTCTCCATAGACAGAACACCGTCGGGTGTTACACACTGCTCAGCAGCTTGGAGCTTTCCCCCTCCTTCTCAGCATGGCAATCAAGTCGTGCCAACCTGAAGTTGAATTTGGTATTCAACGCCATGTTCACCGCTTCTTCAAACGAAGATGGATGTACACGGAAGACTTCCACTCTGGCCACTCCAGTGCGGAGGTTGGAACGGAGTTACACGTACTCTTGTATGAAAGGGCGGGTCACACAAGATGGTGTGACCGTTCATAGGTGTGAATTACACAAGGTTGTGTAATCACGCCGTGGTGTGGCTACACCGTAACAATAAGCCACCACGTGGCAAGACTGCCAGTAGTAATGCATTTTACTACATTAACAAGTGTTTTGTTATATTAACTAGGAAAATCTACGGCAGCCACGCTGCAATTCTTGTCCATTCACCAGAGCATATTATGCTTAAGATGTGATAGCTCGAATCCCCAGACCCTGTCTTGGAGGCGGTGACGGTTATTAATCTGGTAGAGGATCCGAATGGATACGGCGTTCACTAAGTACTTCTGCTTCCACGATGCACCTCGGCTATGCAAAGGAAGAAGAGGACAAAATTTCAGCATCGTGTTGCACAGTGTGCATGCTGTCGCACCCTGAACATAGACGCTGTAAATCGCAGGTAGAGCGACCAGATTCTGCAGCTATTTAGGGAGGGTACACTCTTACCACAAGTATGTAGGATAGTAAATATCTCTCCTATAACTCTGGCAGAAGCTTAAATAATAATATCATGGGGTTGCTTGCAAATAGTCACAAGGCGGTGATGCGCCAAAATTGTGCGGTTGGTACCGGAAAATCATCATTCGTCACGAACGAGTCTGATATTGAGGACACATGCGGAAACTGTAGCGCGAGGAGCGGAACGGCTATTTTCATGGATGACGCTGATAATATCCAACGCATTGTTGAAATAAAAACTGTGCTGACAAGAGACCCGCAACGCGTGAAGTTGCTGGATCAGCAAGTCCATTAGAAAACTTGATTAGTCATCCGAATCGAGGACTAACTCACAAGTCAATGACTCTTATCATACGATATGTGTGTATGCTATCGAATGCGCCGAATATCAGAGATAATTCTGATGACTCGTTAAGGGGTCGACTCGTCTTATAAAACACCAGCTTTGTCCAACGCATTGTCGACATCCATGATGTTAAACGGGTCGATTTTCCGGCAGATCTTCGTATCGCAACCCGATTTTTGGTCGTGTCGCTTGCGAGACGAGCAGTTATCAACGTCGTGACGAACAATGAAGCAGCTTTTAGAACTGGGTCAAATTGAGCAATTTGATCGAATTGATTCCTACCTATTCTCTGTTTCCTTTCCACACATCATGCACTCATCCAAAAATTGTCTTGACTGGTGAAAAGCTAAGTTTTTACGTCCCATAGTCATTATTCCTCTACGAGTTGGAAAGGAAAGATGACACTGCCGTCAGCAGGAACACTAGACGTCAGCTTTCCGAGGACAACGCACATAAAAATGTCAACTTGCTTTCTCACTTTGAAGGATGGGAGGCAGCGCTAAATCTTAAACTATGAACTCGTTGATAGTGGTATTAATTAAAGAGAGCTGCACGGCAATAGAGCGAGCCAAAAGGGGGCTGTTGATCCATGCCTTGCTACCGCCACGCCTCTCACCCTTCCAATATTTGCCTTATGTTAGATCGATGCTGGCATAATTTGTGCTCAGTAGCCGTCAGCGGAAGCATTACCGTAATGCGCATCGATACGACCCAGTAGAGCAACCACAATGTGCTAAGTACCAGTGATATCGAAGGCTAGATTTGGTCATTCTCGAATAACAATCAGGACTTTATGGGGGGTCCATGTGCGGCAAAGTCCTTCTTCGACTATCAAAAGCGTGTCAGCGCGATCCACGATGATATCGTTTATATCAATCATGCATTGATGCGTGTGTCGCTTTAAAAGCAATCAAATCGGTGGTTAGACGTGACAGAAATATTTGGTATCGGGTCGTCGTGAGCAATGAAGGAATGGAACGTGGACCACATGTCAGCAGTCTACGTTTGTAAGTCTTTTCGTTTTGGCGCTTGTTAATGATTCCGTCAAGCGACAAGTCTTCCATTTCGGTGCGCAAATGTGTTGTTTTTCTTTTGTGGTACAGTACAGGTGCGGCTCGTATCGAGGACATCTTCATCAGCGCAAACCTTTTAAGAAAGATGGTATTGCATTGACTGCATACTACAGATTTTTTGTTTTAAAGCGGGAGAGAAAGTTCACATAAGCGCACCAGAGGATATGTTCCCTAGCCCGACTGAGGGGGCAGAGAGCATTTGAATAGCCTCTTAGCAATATCTTGATATTGGCAGACACAACATCAGTGACAGTAGTGAACACTCAAATGCTCTGTACGTCCATTTCTTTTCGATTGATCGATGCAAGTAATCGAACTTGTGTGCAGGGTCAGCCAACGAATCTCTTGAAAAGAGTGTCGAGCTCCGTCACGCAAAATTAAGTATATGTCAGAAGTACTTGTACCCCGTTGAAGTTTCGGTTAACGACAAGTATGTCTAGGCGTTAGGCGCTTTCAAAAGAGGTGGAACCCACTGTTCAGCTTTTCGGGACTCAACATCAACGTTCTGAACTTGGAGGAGGCATGAATTTACTGGCAAATCAAATAGCGTTGTCAAATTGGGAACGGCACACGACTGTCGAAAGCAAAGATCATGCGCGGGGGCCCTAGAGATGCTACAAACGGATACCATGTCAGTATGTCTCGCGGCAAAAATTGTTAAAATCGAGTATTTCTAGCTCTTGTCATGTTCCATGTCACGTAGCGCAGGCGAGGAAACGCTGGCGGGGGAAGGCGAAGTTGGGAGCGCAAGGTGAGCGCTGGCGGAGGCTGTTGGAGAGGAGGGCCTGCTGGCTA